CCCACTTCTTCGGATGCATCCTCTATATATGTTTCACTCTATATGCATCCGAAGAAGTGGGCTGTAGCCCACGAAAGCTTATGCTCTAAGAAATTTGTTAGTCTCTAAGGTGCCACAAGTACTCCTGTTCTTTTTAAGTGTAGACATACTCCCCACTCCCTTTTCCAGGCCTGGAGCAGAGCGCTGTGTGGACAGAAATTGGCCCGATAAAAGCTATTACCTCACCCCCTTTGTCTCATACACAAGTGTTAGCAGGCTCAGGGCCTTGGACAATACATAAATACACAGCGTCTGCTGTGGGACTGACCCCCTCACTCCCAATCGTGTGTCTAGGCCCTGGGCACAGCATCGCCTTTCTGTCCGGGACTGTTGCAGGGTTATACCAATAGTAGCCCCGACCCGTCTCTCCTCCTGGGGCGAGACACTCCGCGAGACAGGCAGGGGAGCTCCTCGTGTCCAGCCCGCTCTGACCTGCCCTGTTAGTGCAGCTGCTTCTGGGAAGGAGCCGCTGCGGTGCGAAGGGACCTTTTCCCACCCCGCTGTAGCAGCAGCGCCCTGGGGAGGCAGCTCCGCCCGTCCCTTTGCGCTGCCCAGGGGCGCGTGTTGCTGTCCCTGGCAGCCCGGGGTGCCCAGCCCGAGCGGGGAGCGGGTCCGAGCCCGGCGGGCGGGGCGGGGCGGGGGCCCACCGGCCGCCAGGGGCTGCCCCGGGGTGACGTTTGGAAAGCGAAACTCGCCGGCTCTCCAGCGACGCCCACTTGCAGAAACAGAAACTTTGCCGGGTCCCTGGGCAGCGGCAGCCGGCGCGGAGCTCAGGTGAGCGGCCCCAGCTCGGGGCTCGGCCCCCCGGGGAGCTCGGCCGGGCTCAGCACTGGGGGTGCAGCACTGGGGGTGCAGGAGCCCGGGGGGTGCAGCCCGACGCCCCGGTTCCAGCCCGGGAGCTGGCGGCGCTCGTGGGGGGCTATGACTGTCTGGGGGGCTTTGCAGAGGCACGGACCCGCCCCCACTCCGCTGCCTCGCCAGGGGCCCGGCTGGGGG